ATTCCGTAATGGAATACCATTGTTCTATAAGAAATGATTTGCAGGTGGACTTCAGAAAAACCTGGAAAGACTTACATGAATAGATGCTGAGTGAAGTGAGCAGAACCAGGAGAACATTATACACAAAAAACACCATGTGATGAACAACTATAATAGATTTGGCTTTCCTCAGCAATACAATGATCTAAGACAATTCCAGAAGACTCATGATGGAAAATGCTATCTACATTCAGAGAAAAAACTATGGAGTCTGAAAGTATATTGAAGCATACTATTTTCATTTTTTCTTTCTTGTGGTTTTTCCCTTTTGCTCAGATTCTTCTTTCACAACATGACTAATGCTGAAATATATTTAACATGATTATATGTGTGTAACCTATATCAGAGTGCTTGCTGTCTTGGGGAGAAGGGAGGGAAAGGAAGGAACAAAATGTAGAACTCTTAATCTTACAAAAATGAATGTTCAAAACTGTCTTTGAATGTAACTAGAAAAAAAATACTATTAAATATAAAAAAAAAAGAAGAAAAAGAATAATGTATTCCAAGAATTTATAGGCTATGATCCTAACTTGACAAGAGATTTGAACTATTTCTTCTTTCTAGGATACCTGCAGTATTTCTTTGATGTTTTTTTCTGACTTTTACCTAGAACTTCTCTTTTGAGGAATTCTTTCAAGAAGCAATCAATGGATTCTATATTCACTTTGCCCTCTGGTTCTAATAGATTTGGGCAGGTTTCATTTGTTATTTCCTAAAATAGTGTTGGTCAGCCTATTTTTGGTCATAATTTTCAGGGGGCTAAAGATGGTGTCCAATGAGCTTAAACTCTTTTTTTCTCCTTTCCAGGTCGGTTGTTCTTAATATCAGCTATCTTACATTTTCACCAATTTGTTCACTTTCTCTATTCTAGTCATTGATTTGTTTGGTTTATTCTAGTATTCCAGAAGTCTCTTAATTGGATCAGGTTTGCCCCTTTTTTTCCAATTTTTCCTCCACTGTTTTAATCTTTTTCTTTTTTTAAATCTTTTGCTTCATGTTTCTAAGTAGCCACGTAGTCCTTGTTCAAAATCTATTTTCCCCTTTGAGCAGCTTATAATTGTTATGGATTTACTCTCTTTATTGGGGAATCTTTAGATTTACAATTTTTATACTGCTTGTTTTCTTCTTTGACTTACTCATCTCTTCAGCTTTAGTTCCAGAAATGAGTCTTTGTGACAAAGCAAAGTCCTCCTCCCTACAGGACTTTTGGGTTGGAGGGGTTGGCCCTGACGCTCATCTACGTAACCTGAGTTTCTCCAGTTGATACCCACCTACTTGGATTATGTTCCCCTGTATTTCTGAAGTTCATAGTCCTGGATTTTTAGGGCCCTGTATGTCATCTCAAGACAGAGAACTAAGGTCTTTGGAGCATGAGCTATCCCAGTCTAAGCACCCTACTCCATAGAGCTCCCAAGATTGCCATCCTGGTGCTTTCTGTCTTCCCTGATTCTTTTTTGGGCAGATTTCTGCCTTTGCTACCTCTAAACACAGAGTGGGCCTTGAAGATTGTACCTATCTGTGGAATGTCACTGGTCAGGCTGGGAAGGTGAACTCTTAGAAGTTTTAATCCCCACAGTCGAGAAAAATGGAGCATCACCTGAAATGAAGCCAATCAATACCATCTCCTTTTCCTGTTGGCAGTTACCTAACTGACTAAATTAAAACACAGTTCATTCTATTCAGTGGCAGTCTCCAGAATCCAAGCCATTAAGAATTGCCTGTATCAAAGTCCCCTTTAAATACCATAGTAAAAAACGGGTCATCTATCAGTACAAATAAAGGATTAGCTAGCCAGTAGCCATGTCCTTCCCAATATGAGTCACCCCTAAGAATGTTACTATTAAGTTCATTAAACACATTCATGCTTCAAGTCCATATGGAAAGGAATCATTACTGCTATATCATGTACTAATGGTAATGGCAGATCTAGAACAGAGTCTAGCTATCACCTTATAAGTCTGAATGCTTCTAACATGCTGAAGATATGTTCACTGTAGGACAATATTAAAATACAAATTCCACAACAAATCAGGACACAAGCTCCCCTTTTCTGCTGGTTAATCATCCAATGCATATTACTATATAAAGTTAAAAGCAACCCTCATGTAACAAAGACTCCCTATAATGGTGACATCAAAATTTCAATGCCGCTGTAGGTAATTCGAAATCGACCTATAAAAGCAATCTTTATCCTTGTGATTCGTGAAAATACCCTGAAAAAATACGTTCTTTAGAGCTGCTTTGTATCTACAATTCTCAATTCTTTACAGAAATACTAAAAAGCAAAGACGGCCTTAACTATAAGTTTTTAAAGGAAATAAAATGGTCTCAGACCTATATGGATAGAAAAACCAATCACATAAAAAATATATCAGAGACTAAACTAGATGAAGAGGTAGTACTATCCTGTAAAATTAGTGATTTATAGTTTGGAAGAGTGGAGTATCATAAAGAAGCAACCATCTTTAACTTCCAAAATGGACTTCTGGTTAAAGAGCTACATTCCCAAAGTAGCCAAGCCTTCTATGACTGAAGAAAGAAAATGATTTAGGTTATCAAAAATAAGGCAAAAATAACTAAGGCAAATCACAGAATATGCTTTTAGGGATATTTTTATAAAATGGGAATGACCATTTTCAGGGTATTTTCATAAATATGTCACGGAAATAAAAGAAAGTAAACTCAACAACTTAAAGACATACATGCAATTAGAACCACTCTAAGATAAAGAAGCAGCTGTTTTCTGTAATACCCATTCTGTAAGGCCTTTACAAGGGAACCCAAATAAGAAAACTGAATTCCTTGTATGTCACAAGGGTTCAAAGATGAATATAATAGTATTGTCCCCTTACGTAAATCAAAGGCCATTTACCCTCTCAGATTGCAAGTTTTGGGACTGTTTGCTTTACAGAAGTCTACCTGTGCTTGAATACAGCCCATTTCACACACACACACAAAAAAAGATGACAATATCACAGCAATCATTTAGAAAAGAAAATTCACCTTAGAAACATTAATAACTGAGAACTTCCATAGGAAAAGTACTCATAAAAGCAGCTTCTACACTCCAAAGTTACCTCAAAACAAGAGTCAAAGTGTCAAAAGTGTAAGGTCATCAAAATTTAACACCTGCTATGTGGGAACAGCAATGATTTAATGTAATTATGTTCCATCTACATATTTTTCTTTTTCCAGAATACCCATTTTACCACTGTGACGCACAGGTATAAGACTGCTAAGAAAACCTATCACCACCTAGAATTGCCTATAAAGCATCAAAAAGATGTTATTTCTTGTCAAATATAAATATCCCTAACTAAAAAGCAAAAGGAAATTGTTCCAGACTGCATTACATCCTACAATAACCTAAGAATATTTTATCCATAAGCAGGTACAAATAACTACTAGTCGTACATCAGTCATTCTGAATGTCATGGATAAAAGCATATACTCCCTGGCAGTCTGCTCATACAGATCAGGTGCCCTCAAAATTTTGCTCTTCCACTGAAGGTCATAATCAAAGTTTTAAAAATCAAGTTAATCTGGGGGTGGGGTGGGGGAGTTTTGGTTCTTATATGTGACTTCACCAGTGTAGGGAATTCACCAGGAGAAAACATTCCTGTCAATGAATGAAAACAGCTACTCAGCACCTTAAGGAGTTTCCTTGGGTGCTAAGAAACTCAATGACTAGTCCAGGGAACCATAGTTATACATGTCAGAGGCAGAAAAGGGCACTAAACACATTCTCTGACTCTGGGCTGGTCCTCTACCGACTCGATATCACAATGTTGCAGAGCAAATATAAAATGTTTAACTGAAAACTATTTTCAACATAAAATAATTTAATAAAACAGTTTATTAAGAATATACTTATTCCATAGCAATTAAGGGGATTAGGAAATAAGGAGATACAGAAAAAGGCAAAGGCAGAGAAAAGGTAAAAAAAAGAGGAGGAAAGAGTGAGAAAGAGAAATGGAAGGAGAGATAAAGTGAGAAAAGCAGTTTCTGAAGTGAGCATATAAACTCTTCTTGTTCATGTGTCAATTAGCTAAAAAAAAAAGACAGCTCTTAAAATTGCTAGTTACCCATAAATCTTTAGGCTTCTCCCTTTTTTTCTCTTTTTCCTGTTATTTTTGTTTTTACATTAAATTCATTTGCAAATATTTATTTCCCTCCCCACAGAGCAATCCATTTTAAGCAAATAGCTTCTCTCCCAATGAAACATGAAGCCACATTAAAAAAAACAAACACAAAAACCACGTATCAAGACAAGAATCATATCCAGCCTCCAGAAAAAGAATCTCCACTTCATCAAATCCATCTCTATTTATTTATATATGTACTAAGTGATTTAGCATACTACACTTAGAAGGCAAAAGTAAAATAGGTTTAAAATACTGTACACCTCAACATGAAGAAAGGGAAACTTAAGTCAACTTCAATCCAGTCCTGCAGATAATAATTGTGCCATATGACATGAACTATAAGTAAAGAAAGGAGCACTTAAATCTTGAGTTTAAAAGGCAAAATATTTCAAAAGTTCATTAATATGACAATCTTTAAATACAAAAATGCACTACTCTTTCAGATGCCATAAAAAAATCTTGTTTACCATAAACTAAAATGTTCCTATCAATCCACTTCCAAATGAGAAGCAACAGTTTTGTAGTGATCCATTAAAATGTTCTCATCCATTAATATTTTCTTGTCCATTCATGCTAAAGAGCATGAAAGTTTAAGACTAGCTATAGTTAAGGATATAGTTTATGCTTATACAATACAGTGGTTTAAACAGAGACTAAAAACCTATAGCCCAAGACATTATCAGCCCCACACTCTAAAGCTTTTGTACAAGTTAGGTATAAACTAAACATTAAGCAGCCTTTTGTTTGCCAGAGAGTATCAAAGCCTAAACTTCGGTAAACAAAGTTATACTGAAACTAGGAAAAAACTAGTATTACCTTGCCTCATCAGCATTAACTGATGTTCATGTCTAGCAGCTTCCATTTCTGCCTCTAGTTTCTCTTTGGCTTCTCTGATATTTCTGTCAACCTGCTCCCGCTGCTGCTTTTCCATTTCATCCAGTGCCTTCCATCGTGATGCATACTCAAATTCAAATGTTCCAGGTTGAGCAAACCGGGGAGGTTGCTCTCTTTCCCTAAAATAAAATTACATTTAAAAACATACAAAGATAGGCTTATATTTTAAAAGGCTGTACTATCAAAATGCTTTCCTCAAAAACGCTACTTCTGATTTTAATTCAAATTCATTTATATACAGGTAGCTCTCAAATTATCAATTTTGGCTTTCTGCAAATTTGATTTTTGAACTTGGAAAAGATTTTCTATAGAAACTAAGTCACAATTGGTAATTAGGATTCTAAGCTGGTAGACATACCTAATTAATCATAACATATCTGAAACATAATAATACCTATTTTTCACCTAGCACTAACAATTACAACCTATTTCTATGGGAAGATCTATTTCCTGTCTCAACTAAGTATGGCAGGAAGACATTTTCCACCTCACTTAGCAGCAAGAATGCTACTTGCTCACAAACTACTCCCATCCATCATCCTAAGAACAGAATGAGGGACCCAATCAGTTTATATATTTCCTCAACTCACTTAAGACCTAAGTTAAACTAGAGCTTCTATTCAGTAGGTATGCATTACCCATTTAAATTACTAAACAGGAACACAAGAGTAATAAAAGTAATTTGGCATTCTGGAAGTGGAAATTCCTGTTAACTGGCACATCTGCACATCAATACGCAAAATAATTTTCATAATGATCAAAGCATACTATTATCCTAAAGCGACTATGAATCGAATAAAGATTCAAGTGTCTTCAATATAGTTAGCATTAAATGTACTTAATCCTACTCTAGTTCTCTGAAAATCTGGCAGTCCAATGGAACGTGTAAATAACTCTACATTAACCAAATTATCTGATTAACCAGCTATGTAGAATATCAAAAAGTGAAATGAAAAACATTAGTTGCTTTTTTCAAGTAGCTTACTTATGATATTGTTGTGTCTTTTGCATTAGTTTCTCTGGTAGTCCATCTTCATCATCAAATTGTTCCATGGGCTCCACAATGACTGGCCGAGGTGTTCTGAGGGTATGAAACATTTTTAAAAATGTAACTGAAGGTACCTAAAATGACCTTTCTCTGAGAAATTTATTTTGTTCTATGGAAATTTTCTTATCAACACATTTATTCTAGTATCTCAGAAGAACAAAGTTAAAAAAATAAAAAATTTGGTTTGGATTTACATGGGCACTAAATTCTTCAAGGTGCATTAGAAACATTTTTAAAATAATTATATTCCTCTTTCTGATGGTTCCTCCCATTGGTTCTAATTTTCACTTACAACATCACTAATGTGAAAATATGTTTAATAAGAATGTATATGTATAGCCTATATCACACTGTGCGCCGTCTTGGGAAGGGTGGTGGAGAGGAAAGGGGAGAAAAATTTTAAATTCAAAAGCATATGGAAGTAATTGCTGATAAATCAAAATAAATTAATAAAAAAAATTTTAAAAATAAAATAAACTAATAAAAAATAAAAAATAATTATAACAAGTTTTTTATTAGCATTAGATATTTGTTTTTACAATAAGGATATATATTCTTTTCTTATAGCTATCCTAACCCACCACCATAGCATATTTTGTTATTTCACAGCTCACTGATGAAATTCAGAGTAGCTAAAAATAATTCATTTTTCCTTTTCTGGTCAGCTGATCTTACTGTGTGTAATTATTCACAACATTAATAGTAATAACAAATTTCCTGTATATGTAATGCAAAAAATTATTTGGGTGACTCTAACAGTGTCACCAGAAAGCTAAATTTACTATATACTCTTCCACATTCCTAAGTTAACTCTCCATCCCTTGTTTAAGTAATACCTCCACATCCTTCCTGGCCTAAAATCTACACATCTCTGTTCAGAGACCAAATCTGTAAACCAAAAATCAGGGAATCTCCAACACAAACCAACCAACTTTGCATATAGCAGAAAAGCAATCAATAAATATTTGTATGATTGGTAATAATTCTCTGGACACAAAATCCTCACTCTTTCAGATCCAAACTCATGACACAAAGCATGAGACCCTATACTATCAGTTGATCTCTATCTTAACCCTTCAACAGGATAAGAAAATCTTTTCCTCCTTCCTCGTAAAAACCAGTTGCTGTTCCCAAGGTCCAGAACTCAAGCTATAACTATTAACTAACTAAAATATATTGAGCATTAAAAATGGCTTTGGTGAACTACTCTGGGAGCCCTAAGTACTGCAAGTAACAATAGTCACTAAGCATTAAACACCTACTAGTGCAAAGCACTGTTAAGCACTTTTAAACTGGAAAAAGGACTCATTTCCAAACAACTAAATTTTAAGCTGCTTTCTTCAAAAAGAATTTCAGCTTTCCACAACAGCATATCCAAAATATTTGCCAAATGCTTTTCCAAAACACAGAACCAACTATATTGATAGCATTACCCCTTACCTACCTGTTAAGTTAACATTTCTCCTTGAAGCCTCACTCAACAAACCTAGAAATCTAGATTCTCCTCTGAAATCCTCTAACATTGATTTATAGCACTCATTTATTAATTTTGCACAATTACTTTGCATCATTATTTATTTTGAGAAATATATCCTGTTTGTGTTATTATTTATTTTTTGAGTAATATGTTCTGGTTCCCAAGATGATGAGGATTGGCAGCTAGGTGACTTAGTAGACAGTGCTGGACTTGGAAATCAATCCCACTTATTAGCTATGTGACTCAGGGAAAGTCATTTAACATTTAAAAGTCTATTTCCTCATCTGTAAAAATGAGAAAAATAATCGCAACTATTTCAGAGGAAAGTTGTGAAGGTGAGCTTTACAAACATGTTGTGATTATTAGGAAATACTCATGATCAAGAAAATAATATACTTTGAGCAAACAAGTACAATATTTGCATATAGGTAAAAGAGTTAGAAAAATAAGATGGCAAATCTCATAAAAGGTAAAATCAGCCTAACTAGATAAAATTAACAAAGATATCCTACCAGGAAAGCCTAATGACAAAACATAAGAAAAGAGGCTAAGTTTAAGAGACCTGGTAAATCTTTAAACATAGAGAAAGAGCAAAAAGAAGAGAATGACAATTTGGTTCGATCAAGAACTGTTCAAAAGCCTGAAAAACTAAGTACTAATGAAGAACACAAATAAACACTGAGAAAATTCCATTCCCAATAACTGCAAAGGACAGTAAATTTATTTTTACTGTAGTGTACTTTTATTATGCAGGGGCAGCCAGGTGGCACAGTGGTGCTGGACGTGGAGTCAGAAAGACCCAAGTTCAAATATGGCCTCAGACACTTACTAGCTGTGTGACCTTGAGTAATTCACTTAACCCTGACTGCCTCAGTTTCTCATCTGTAAAGTGAAATGGAGAAGGAAATGGCAAATTACTCCAGTATCTTTGCCAAAAAACCCTCAAAAGGGATCACAAAGAGTAAGACAACTGAAAAACACGACTAAACGACAAACAACAATTTTATTAAGCAGGTTAAGTTACATTGTTTTGATGTATTAAAATATTTTAAAAATTCAATACTAAATATCTAATTTCCAGTCAGCAAGATTTATAAATGCAACAACTGACATCCAGTCTTTCCAGTGCAAATTTATATAAAAAGCTATACTGAAGAACAACAAAGTAAGGATTATAACGTGCACCTCTCTACTCTGCTTGTTTTGCCCATGCCGAGTAGGCAAGTACAAAATTCTCTTTCTTCCTTCCTCATAAACTGTTCTTTCAAAAGAACTCAGTTCCAAATAACCAATTTACATTTTTTAAAGTGGTATTTTCAGAAAGGACTTCAACTTTGATCACCTTTTCAAAGTGTCAAAAAAATACAAGCACAGGACGGCAAGTTTGAGACAAAAAAAAAATTAAACCAACAAAGAATAGGAAAATAAAAGCGAGGTTCTGATCTAAGAACAAAGAAAGAGAGCAGATTATCACAATATATTAAGGAAACACAACTGAACCAAGTTAAATAATGACGTTTTCCAAAATAATTTGGTCAGAACATTTTAAATTTTAAATAGATAGAACATGTATATGTTGCTCTGGGGCATATGAAATATATCCAGAATAATGGGGGTGCATACAATGTTAAAAAAAAAGATGTGATAGGAATATACGTGAGATCAGTGTAACAACAAATGAAGAAAAATGATGAAGTGTGACTATTTGAACACTGTAAGGTTGTGACATGAGCAGAAATGTTAACAAAAGGTAACAAGAAACACAAAGGGGAAGGAGAAAGAATAAGACACCTTAAGAGGAGCACAGTAAGTATTTGCTGGGAATGAGAAAACGGGACTTAAATAGTTTGAAATGGATAAAGCATTAGAAATGTTAGGGGAACAGGACAGGGTGCAGAATCCAGAATGCACAGGGAGTATTCCAGGCATCCCTTTCCCCCACCAATGGCTAGATTAGTTACCAACATGATGGGTTTGAGTTCCTAAGTATCCTTCCCCTACTTCATTCAACCTTCTCTAGCAGAAGACAGAAAGGATCAAATGAAAATAGGTGATAGTATCTTACCAAAACAAGGTTGAAATGAGATAAAGGTTATTTAACCTAGAAAGAAAAGGCAACCCAGAGAACTAATGATGAAGTCAAGATGCAGAAGGAAATATACATTTCTGGATAAGACCAGTGTGAGAATCTGGTTTTACTTAACTACAAATAATTGTTACAACAGTTCTGATATTCTTATTTTTTCCTAATTGGGAAGGGAGAGTGGAAAAGGAGAAAATTATAAAAATACTTAATTTTAAAAGAAGCAAAACAAAGGACAATACCTGATATTAAAAAAAAGATATAAGATAAATTATGATTAAATCAAAGCAAGAGTTAGACTGAAAAAATAAACTTTCAAACCATAATTAATTTGGAACTATTGAGAGAGCACAATTTTCTTCCCTGGAGATCAAAATTACAAAATTTTAAGACCTAGAAAGAGCTGGATGAGACTTCAGAGGACATCTAGTACAACCCTCTCATTTTCCAAAGGAAACTAAAGCCTAGAAAAATCAGATGACTTGCTCAAGGTCACAAAAGTATTAACGGTCAAGAAATGGATTTAAATGCAGCACAGCATTCTTTCTATTGTACCTTACTGATTTTTTCAAATTCCTACCATCTACCACTGTGAGCAGAAAGCTAATGTAGATTATCTCTTGATTTATCTTCTAGTTCTAGAATTCTAAGTTTTAGAAACAAAGGAAAACAACCTACCTATAATCTCACCATACTCCAATCATTTGGGTTATTCTAAAAGCTATATAAAATAGATTGCCATTCGTTAGTTCTGGGCCGTAATGAATTCCGTATAATGAAAAATAAATCAATTTCTCCATAGAATGCAGTTTTACTATTTACATAATGCCAGTTAAAATCTCTCACACAAGTTGTTCAAAAAGACATTCACAATCTTACACATCTGTGCAAATTCTCATTTGAACGTTTAGTGATACTTTCTGTAGATTTTTCATTTTTTAAATAAACGTAAACAGCATGAGCATTTCCATGTATAAAGCAGAAGGAGGACTGTGCATGAAACAGTTAATTTCTACCATATGCAGCCTGTTTCGAAGTTAACATAGTAGTACCTACACATGCCCTGCTTGTTTATGTTCCCTTCTGAACTTCAACTTTTTTTTTTGGCAACCCTATTATTACTAATCCATCATTCTCTCCCCACCCCCAACTTAATGAAGTTGACAATTTATTGATCAATTAACTTTGGGTTTGGGTTTTTTTTGTTTTTTCTGAAATAATTTTGCTTCCTCTCCACCAGGAGGTATCAATCTTAATGGGTTGAAGGTTCACAAGCCCACAAAACTGCCCCAACCAAATTAAAATGTAACTAGGAAATGTTTACCAAAATAAATATACAATGTAACATAATGTTAATTTGTGGTTTTCTAAGTCAATAGGCAGCTGGTGGGGATCCCCTTTTTTGAGTTTGACATCAAGTTTATACTCTAGTTCCTGTTCCTGTCATTGCTATAGCTAGAATGTCAGATAATAATGGTAACAGGCCTTTTTGCTTTACTCCTTTTATATACAGGGAAAATTAGTGTTTCTCCATCAGATATAATGTTATGTGTTGGTTATCAATAAATATTTTTATTAAAGAAAAGTCTTACTAAGGATAGGCTTTTTAATTACCCAAAAGTTTCTCCCAGAAACTAAGAATCATCTTTTAATACCAGTATTTTTCTGGTGATTATTTTTATCTCTAAGTTATGAAACATTATCCTTAAGAGCAATGGAAAGGCACACGATGGACCTACACTGGCAACTACATATCACAAAAAAAAAAAAAAAAAAAGCAAAAGTATACAGAAAAGATACAAATGATATAAAAGTAATGCTTGTACAAAGAGGATGAGGCAGTCAAATAGCAAGAGTAGGGGAAAATCATAGCAGCCAGCTTCACTGTGAGTAAAGATGCTACCCCTTGGTGGGTGGAACCTTAAAGGACAGACTTGGAAAAGGAAGGACAAAAATGGACATCTGTATCAAGGAAAGAAATAGCCACATCAGTAAATTCAGTGATTTATTGCATTATTGGGCTACTGACAGAATCATGTCATCTTCACTGTAATTAATATGTCAATACTGATTAATTCCTTTGTTTCTTTCACAAAACTGTATCATCCTAAAGAACTACAACCTTCAGTGAAACCTCTGGAGTCACCCACCCTGTTGCTTTCATTCATCTTCACACACTCTCCTTATATGCCATGCCTCCTCCTCTTTCAATCTTCCTACAAAACATGCTCTGAGTTTTCAGATAAGAGATGGGGATTAGGGATTGCACCTTTGATTTCAGCAATATAATTAACTCCAAAATGAAAAAATTCCTCTACCAATGAATATATGGTGTTAGAGTTGCCTAGATCAGTGTTATAAAACTCAAATGGAAATGTATCCCTGCTGACCACATACTGACTTAGAAAACCACAAATTAACATTATCTATGTTATACTGAATTTTTACTTATTTTATTGAACATTTCCCAAATACATTTAAATCAGGTTCTTTGTCCAGCTGCCACATATCTGACAACTCTGGCTTACAGCACTGAGGTTAAGTGACTTGTTCAGGGTCATACCACCAGGATGACAGAGGCAGCACCTGATCTCAGGTCTTCCTAGATCCCTCTATTCAGCACATCATACTGCATTTGCAGGTTTCAACTAGCCAAACAAAAGTTCCTTTATCTTGCTACCCCCTGAAGCCAGTTAGATCTGTCTAACCTGACTTTTACTTCTATCATTTTCTTACCAGTCACATTCAACTCAACCCTTTGCAATCAGGTTTCTCCACCGTGGATATCAAAAAGGAACTCTACTGACAAATTCAATGGCTTTCCTTCATTTCTAATCTTTCTTGTTCTCATTTCAGTATGTGATGCTGTCAATCTCCTTTTATAGTTCTCTTTATCTTTGAGACCTATGTTATTGTACTACCTCAGTGCCCACTGCTCAAGCCATTCCCTATACTAGGAATGCTATCCTCTTCTCTTTACCTTTTAAATCCTAAGACAAATGCCATTTCTTTCAGGGAAGTGAAAGAACCAATAGGCCCTTTAGACCTCACATAGTTTTTAAACAGACCTATCGTTAACTTTCTAATGTACTATAATCATCTATTATTTATGGTGATCACAATCTACTACTAAGCTATCAAATTCTCTAAAGGAAGAGCCTAAACTTTCTCTTTCCCCCAACTTAACACTTTTTTAAATACTAAATGTTTGCCCTTCCGCCTTTTAAAGCCTTTTGGTCCCAACCTATCTTCCCAATCTCATACATCATTCCCCTTCCTTTACTCTTCCACCCAGCTATAAACTGGTCTTCCCTGTTCCTCAAGAGCACTTGCCATCCCTTACGTCTAGAATATATTTCTATCTCTACCTCATGGAAGCCCTGTCATCAAATCATCACCAACAAAGCCTTTCTTGATACCCAAAATGTTAATACTTTTCCTCATAAATACCTTATCATTCAAACACACACACACACACACACACCCTCTCTCCTGAAGGAATATAAATTTCTGGAGAGTAAGAATTACTTTATTTGTATACCCAGCATCTGGTAGGACATGGCTTATTGACCGATTGCCCCTCTCAGTATATGGTTCCTAATCTTTCCCCTGGCCCTTAAATGTGGTTTTTTCCCAAGGCTATCAAGAGATCTCTCATTTTTAACTAAACTTCTGTGTTTTCTATAATCACCAAAATGCTGCTAATGACCTATTTTTACTTCCATAGTGTCCAAAGCTCCAGTATTAAGTGACTATGTTTTATAATTGAGGGAACAACTCCTCTATGGGTTATGTCACACTCAACATGTGCATGTGTTGGGGGGGGTGTAGGGGGAGAGAATGTTGGGGAAGGGGGTGGAGAATGTTAATATTTTGAGTCAACTCTCCCCAGAAACTCAGTTAAGTGTGCAAGTGGTAGAGTAAACCTCCCACTTTGGAAATGCTCTTGTATTTTTGTCCTAGCTATACCTTTTCAGTAAATACCCCTTTGCAAAAGCTTAAAAAAAAAAAAAAAAAAGGTTAAACTTTCCCCTCATGCCCTGTATCCAATGATTAAATCCTTTCAATTCTATCTTTAAAATCTTTCTCCAATCAACCTCTACACACAATCTGTGGGACTCCAACTGCATGCCACCCTAGTTCAGGCCTTTAATACCTCTTTCCTGACACATTAATCCTGGGAGGGGCCAGGGTGTATCTGTGTGTGATGATCACATCAGTGTTCACCAGAAAATACCTTTGACTTACATTCCAGGCTGCCAATAATCTGGTTCCAACATTCCAGGCTGCCAATAATCTGGTTCCAACCTACCTTCTGACCTTGCCACTACTTTAGCTAAATTGGATTCTACTCCTCAGTCTCAACCACCATGCTTACATTTAAAAAGCTTTTGCTTTCATATACTATTACCCATGCCTGGAATGAAACCCTACTCCCAAAATTTCAAACTCTACATGTTAAAATGCCTTCCCCCTTCCTTTAAGGACTAACTCTGGAGCTACCTTAAAGGCTACATGAAGCCTTAACCTAATCCTCCAAACTCAGGGCTCCTGAATTATTTTCTGCTTCATGAACACCTTTGGACATGCTGGTAAAGGCTATGGACTCCTTCTCAAGATACTGTTTTTAAATGCACAAAATACATAGGGTCACAAATGAAACCAATTATAATTAAAAAAATTAAAGCATTTTTTAAAGAACAAATTAATAGAGATCTCCCAGTTAAGAACCCTTGTCCTAGCTGAATATATCACAGACTATCAGAACTGGAAGGGCGTTCGGAGGTCATTTAGTCCACCCTGTTTGTTCTAAGTTTTTTAGAGTACTTTGTCTGACTCTCTTTTCTGTTCAACAAAATCAACCTTAATTCACAGACATGTGTGCGTGTGTTATCCCTTCCCCAATCTGATAACCTTGACATAGTTTTTATATCTCTAGCAATATCTCGCAAATAAAATAATTGTATGTTGAATTCAGTAGTGCAGTTTATTCACAGATCCATCATTTTCTGAAAACTGAAGAAAAGGGATTTTTTCCAGCATCAAAAATGAGCTAATTCTATTCAGTAGTAGCCCAGAAGGATGAACAAGAATTTGAGGATTATGGTGATGTACCAAATGTTTGCAAAGATCAAGGAGATTTTTAATAATGAACAAAAGAAGAAAGTCTGCAGGTTCAAGGGGGAATGGCTGGACAACTGCCTGGATTACTGGGTAAAACCTTCAGCTATTTAAGTGGCAAACCTTGCATCATCATAAAACTCAACTGAGTTCTAGACTTCAAACCTAAGCCTCCAAAAAAAATCGATTCCCTGGACAAGGATCTGATGATACAATATAATCCAAATGTCCTTCCTGTTCATTGTGCTGACAAGAGAGAAGATAAGGATAAAGTTGGAACCACAGAATGCTTGAGTGGCTGTTCTGCTATTGCAGTGGTTTTCCACTACAATATTACCCAATATTAGGACTTCCTTGTTCGCAATACAGAACTATAATATTTCAATAATTTGGTGTGTATTCAATTATTTTGTGGGCTATTAGATGAAATCAAAATTTCACCTTTAAATATTTCTATTTATTCACTCACTCAAAAAAAAATGCACCAAATATCCACTGTTTGGTAGGTATAAGGACATGATACAAAGATATAGAACTGGTCACTGTCCACACGGAGTTGGTTTTTTTTTTCTTTTTTCTTGGCTAGGCAATGGGGTTATGTGACTCGCCCAGGGTCACACAGCTAGTGTCAAGTATCTGAGGCTGTATTTGAACTCAGGTCCTCCTGACTCAAGGGCCAGTGCTCTATCTACTGTACCACCTAGCTGCCGCTACATGGAGTTTTAGTGATCTAAGACCACACTGTCTTTATTTGGTTCATTAATATAAAAGATAATATTAACTTACGTGGTTAGCAAGAATGCTCCATCACCACATCTTTCCAGGGCCTTTCGTGCTGGAGGTTTTGCAGCAAATTCTACAAAACCTTTTCCCGTTGCTCGTCCACGATCATCCACTACTACAACAGCTTTTTCCACAGGACCAAACTGAGAAAATGCTTGCTCTAGAAGCTCATTAGAAACCACAGGTGAAAGGTTCTTGACGGTTAAGGCAGCTCCATGAGTAGCAAATCGAATTCGGAGTGGTCTGCTTTTCAAAATAGTGCCATCCAGCTCTGCTTTTGCAATTTCAGCCAGAGTTCTAGACTCCTTTTGGGGGGGAAATAAAGAGAGTTTACAAATGATTGTACACATTCCTAAATCCACTGTCATGCTGAAAAGGCATCATTAAAAAAAGTTGTTTTGCACACACACATATACCCCCCCCAATTTGACACTTGTCTCTTTAACACAAAAGAGTTTTATGAAGAGTAGCTAATTGACATCCCTCTCTAGTCATTATTTCTATTTTTCTGTCTAATATTTCTATATACTCTAGCCTATAAAATGCACTGTGTATGGGGAGTGAGTGGGAGGGAGGAGAGTGTATTTGGAGTAGAATCTACCCTTCCTGGAACATTTTCTAGAGTTTCAAGCACTAGGAAAATCACCCTTTTCTTAATACTCACACACTATTTGTCATCTCCAAGATTGGACAATTTTTAAAAAAAATATATAAACATAAAAATGATACAAATAACTCATCTTCTCAAGAAAACGTTAGTATTTCTTTATTCAATCCCTAGGATTAATGTTAACATCCCAAACTCAGTAATCTTATGATAGATGAACTTAAGCCATTTCAGGCCTTCAAAATCATTAGAACAAAGTCTTTAAATGTACAAGACTTGAGAACCAAAAAAATCTTAAGAGTTCAATCCAATTCCAATGTTTTACCAGTTGTCTGACCTTATCGCTGAGCTGCAAATTGGCTGAACCTTAATCAATCCATCTACAAAATCAGAACAGTACTTTCAGAACTTGAAACCAGAATTTTATAAGTATCTGCATTTATTACGGAATTCATTGTTTTGCTTATTCTGCTTAGTGTAAGCCAAGTGGAGGTATTTTTTGAAGTGTTTAGTTTTAAATCTTTGGTTTTAAATGGCCTTAATGATCATCTAGAACAACTCATTATTTTAAGGATTCTGAAGGAATCTAAGTACTTGAAAGAATCCTCCAATAACAGGAACCCATTTCATCAAAAGTAACACATTCCATTTTTGCAACATCAATTTTAACAAATTTTCTAATACTGAAACAATATTTGACTCTAAATTCTACCCACTAGTCTAAGACCCATCTTCTGGGTTCAAGCAATAAGACTAATTTCTCTTCCATATGAAAAATGTAAATTTTTTCTGTTTCTCTAAGCCTTCTCTTATCCAGGCTAAACACTGCCTCTCTCAATTTTCTTCTTAGGGCCTCATACCCTCCTTATTACCAAAGCAACAAAGTCCTGCGGCTGTAACTCATATTTCTTATCTCCCAATGTAATGCTCTTTCTAGTACACCACATTCCCAGACTTCTACTGTTTTACATTAGCTGCTTAAATATCTCTATAGACTGATCAAAAATAAATTAATTAATTGCTTTATTTGATAGATACATGGTAAAAGCAAAGGCAAAAAACTGGCTTACTGCCAACAAAAAAACAGTTTGGGTCAAATTAAAGTTACTTGAATTAACACTGCTTGCAACTGATTGTTTGGTTAAGTCAATCTGGCCAAAACTAGTTTTTGAACTAGTCAAGAGACTAATAAATTATCCAATTCTTTTGGAGCTTAGGCTTTGCATTCTTTGGTGAATTTTTTTCAAAATATCTGAACATCCCATCAAGAATATGCCAAATATGTGAAATGTTTCTTTTAAATGATTCCTTTCCCAAAAAAGAAATACAGCTACAAAAATCACTTCAATTTCTTTCCCAATAGAAGAAATTTTCCAAGGTAGCCCTTCCACGGTAACACATTTCCACAATTGCCAAAGTCCTACCATAAAAATGACTGGCAGTCATAAACATTAACCCACCACAAATTACTTCATTTAAGTGTACAATTTAGACCTGAAAGGCAATTTAAGAGATAATCTAGACTAATATCCTCATTTTACTTCCATCATAAACACTTTCCAACACGAGGCATAGAGAATAATCATACTTTATACTTCAATCATACAATCATGACTTAAGAGCTAAAAAGTACCTTAGGGGCCATCAAGTCCAATCCTTTATACAGATGAGGAACTGAAGTTAAGAGAAGTTAAATCACTTGCCTAGTCACAGAAGTAGTGACTAAGGCCTATTTTGAACCTAAGGCTTCCTGATTCCAAATCCAGAACACTATTCCACTGCACCATGCTACCACTCATGAAACATAAGAATTTTATCTTCATTTGTAAAATCGGTGGTATTTTTTTCCCATACAATCGTATTGTTGTAATTGAGTTTGATGATATGTAGCTGGACACAATTCACTATACAAAAAAGCAAAATTTTTCTTAGTACATCATCAAAATACAAGACAGTTAATTGCCTGTTTACTCATACAATCATTCTTCAACTACAAAGATAAGTGTGCTTCTAAAAAGCCATGCTAAAAAGTCCAATTTAATAAACAAACTTTCTCAATGACTTTCATTATGAAAGTGGGGCCATATTCTAGAAGGAAAAAAAATAATCCTTTGTTAAAATAACATCTACCTCCCCCAAAATTAACTATACCAGCCACTTATCCCCAACCATTGGCCACTACCAGCAGAACTGTAGAGAACTGTTCAACACTGGATATGCTACATCTGCATCTACTTACTTTGAAGACAAAATATTTGAAGGACAGATCCTTTTTAAATCTGTAAGTCTATTAAATAAATAACGTGCGCTGGCGATTCCCATACCAGTTTTGATGGTCACATAGGTGTTTTAAAAGTGGCTTTAAGGAATAGATTTTTGAACTATAAAAAACACAGAAGGGCAGAATAGTGTAACAAAAAGCTATACTAAGTCTATGATTGCCATAGTTGCTCTTTTATCCAGAGCAAATGACAGAATTAATAGTATCAATGGGTCTGATTCACTTTAACTAGGGAACTGGCAACAATGGCAGGGTTGGGAAATGAGAAAAAGCAGAAGTCTTTCTATCTCCATTCATCTAAGCCAAATTTGTTTCTAAAGAAAAAACAGATGATTTCTATAGTACAGTGGGAAATACCATCAGTTCCACTTCTCAAAAAAAATGCAGCCTCACAGTGATCAGGGAGGCATAAGGACAAGGGGAACATGAAATTTTTGCCATCTTGTCTTCAGATAGCTCATAGCCCAATTATGCTCACTGTACAACAAATGAGGGGCTAAGGAAAAGTTTTAATTTTTGAATTCTATAAACATATCCTGCTTTCCCAAAATTCTAATGTCACTATTATAAATTGACAGGGTTTTATTTGTTTGCATTATGTAAAAGGAAGTTAATATGTTGTTTGATGCTAAACTTAGTTTTTAAACTACTTCTAATGAAGCTCCAACTTTACATCAAATAATACTCGTATTTTTTAAATTTCACTCCTAACACAAGTAGTTCGGTTAATAGCTGACTTCTATTTTGATAGACACTTGTTTGAAAGTGTAAATTTAAATATATCCAGAGCATGTATGTTTCATCATATATTCAGTATATATCATGAATTTTCCATTTATTGCATGCCACTGCTGTTAGCAGCTATTAGAATTGGCTAACATAACACAAGCTGGGGTAATAACAATTTTCTGACAATGAAAGTTTATTTGAAGACCAATCTATGAAAATACTGGGAAAACACAATATAGTATTCAAAAAATTTTTCATTAAGAAAATCACCCTGTTGTAGAAAACACATCATGTTCAACAAACCTTTAAATATAAAACCATATGCTGCAAATCTAACATTGATAAAGTCACCAAGCTTAAAAACAGAAGGCCCTTCTCAAATCAACTGAGCCATTTTCTATTTTTAAAAAATGCACAAAAATTAATATTTCCAAATGCTAATAACCCAGTGACTAATAGTGACTCCAGAAGACTTAAGACGAAACATACTTCTCACTTTTCTGGGAAGGAGTGAACCCTAGGTGTGGAAGAAGACATTCCTAATCAGACCAGGATAATATGTAAATTTATTTTAACTGTTGTGATTGTGTGTCTTGAGGGTGGAAGTAAAAAGGGGGGGAGGGTGAGAGTGAAAATGATAACCATATAAAAGGAAAAGCATTAACACAGCTTTTTTAAAAATGGTGAACACTATCAAGTCGTTTTTCCCCCCAACTCTTCGTAACACTACGTCATTCCTCATGCCTGCACTGTACTCCACAGTAACACCATGGCCTAAAGCTTTAGAAATTTAAGTTTTTATTTGTACCACCGAAGGTTAAAACTATTGGAGATTTCAATGAATAGTTCTGTTTGTTAAAGTAGCATCCACCTCCCCCAAAATTAACTACATCAGCCACTTCCCTCAACCATTGGCAACCAACAGCGGAACCATGGATATAACAAATCAACACTAGATAGGCTATATCTCCATCTATTTACTTTAAGACAAAATATTCGGAAGGCAGACCCTTTTTAAACCTACGAGCTTATGAAATAAATAACATGCCTTGGCCATTCCAATACCAGCTCTGATGGTCCATAGAAAGGTGTTTTAAGTGGAAACACGAAAGAAATCGTCCTTTTCTCCTCATTAAGAAATTTCCTTGTAAAGGAACCTTACTCAAAGGGACGATGCCTACCCAGCCCCTCACCCCTGCACAAGGCTTCATTAGTGGTTTATTTCTGTGTCAACCCTTCCAAAGAGACCCCTTTTTCTCCCATTACAAAAGAAAGCTCGGCCTGAGGCGCCTCCTACAGGACAACGAGGGCAAAGGCGCTCCCTCGGGGACCGGGTGAAAATCTAGAAATCTAGAACAGACCGAAAACGGGATTTTAAATCGGGACAAGGATGGCTGCAGCGAGCCGCCGGGACTAGAGCCCAGGCTAACTGCCAAGCACTGGGGAGCCGGACGTGCGAAAGGCTGGGGGCACCCGGCAGGCCCGGAAGAGGCCCGACGCGCCACCGAACCGCACGCGACTGGTAACGCAGGGGCGGCCATGGCTCCGGCCCCTGGGGACCCCCGGAGCGCTGGGGGAGGGGAGGGGCGCGCGCCAGCTACTGACTGTAGCGAGGTCTAACCCTCTTTCTCACCAGACGGATGAAGCCAAAGCCGCGGTCTCGGTTAATGAAGACCTCGCTGGGCTCCCCGTAGCGCTCGAAGAGTCGCTTGAAGTCCTCCTCCGTGATGTCCGTGGGAAGGTTCCCCACAAAGAGGCGGCAGCGCTGCGTGTAGGTTTTCTCCCCCGGCTTCAGGAAGCTCTTGATGTCGATGGTGAAGCCCATCTCTTCCTCCTGGTGGTCCTCCTGGGGCGCCGAGGGGGGCGGCGCCTGTTCCCCGGCCAGAGCGAGCGCCATGGCAGCCGCAGCTGCCGTCTCGCTCTCCCCCGCCGCCGACTCCAAGGCCCGCAGGCGGGCCGGGTTTTTCTCGATCCGCACTTGCTTCAAATTTCCTCTCAACATGATCGCTCCCCCAAATTCGCTGGAAGTCTGGAGGAAATAAAACAGATGTCCGTAGGATGGAAAAGGAGGCCGGGCAAGCCGCAAGACCGAACCAGGCGTTCAGCTCCTGCTCCACACACCCGATCCGCGGCAACAGCGCTTTCAAAATGGCGCTGCCAAAAGCTGCAGCTAGTTGTAACGTTGCCGAGCCCAAGCCCCGCCCCCGCCGTGTGCTGCGGCGCCGCGCCCTCCGCGCCTGCGCAGTTCAGGCCCTGGCTCGAACTTTTCGAGAATGTCTTTTTGACCGATACTAAGAAGGAGCCTCTTTTTGCACATGCGCGGACAGCTGCCTCTTGACTGTCTTACCCTCCCCAATTATGATGGAATCTGTTTATGCAGGCCACGTGGAACTTTATGGTGGATTTGCGAGAAAAATTAAGTTTTGCCATTGCAAGCAGTGTGGTCAACCAGGATCTTAGTCAAAGTGAAAAATTTCAAATTTCCACACACAGTGTGAGATTTGCTTATAATGGCTATGGATAGCTATATAATATAGTTAGTAATAATGACTCATGTATATATACCACTCTAAGGCCTAGAGGGCAAATAGTAGTACCCTCATTTTACAGATGAAGAAACTAAGGTCCATCAGTTGTCAGCTAGTAATTATGCATCCATGTAAGGTTTGCAAAGTATTCTACAAAATGTCATTCGATCTCACAGCAACCCTAGGAGATAAGTATTATTATTATCCTCATTTTACAGAAGAGGAAATTGAGGCAGAGGTTAATTTCTCAGGGTCAGACAGCTAGTAAGTACCTGAGGGTGGGTGTGAACCCAGGTCTTCCTGACTCCAGGCCCACTTCAACACCTACCAACCAAAAAACCTCTCATCTCTTCAAAGTAATGTATAAGAAAGGATACTGGAAAGGTAGGAGAGGACTAGGCTTTGAACACTAAACAAAAGATTTTGTATTTGATACTGGAGGTGATAGGGAGCCACTGGAGCTTATTGATTAGGGGGTGACACAATCAGACCTGTGCTTTAATAAAATCATTTTGGTGGCTGAATGGAGATGGATTGAAGAGGGGAGAGATTAGAGGCAGGCAGACCCACCAACAGCTTCTGCAGTAGTCCAGCTATGAGGTGATGGAGGCCTGCACTAGAGTGGTGGCAGTGTCAAAAGAGAAAAGGGAGAGATTTTGCAAAAGTAAAATCAACCGATTGGCAACAAAATGATGGGAGTAAGAGACAGTGAGAAGTAAAGGATGCCTCCCAGAAAGAGGATGAGAGATAGTGAGGAGTCCAAAATGGCTCCTAGGTTAGGAGCCTGAGGGACTGAGAGGATGTTGTTGGCCCTCTACAGTAATAGCGAAGGGTTTGGGGAGGGGGACAAGGTTAGGAGTGTGAGAGATAATCTCTGAGGATCTCTCAGGAGTGAAGCCTCCTCAAAGAGTTAATCGTTTGACCTTGTAAAACAGGAGGAAAGATAATGAGTTCCATTTTGGACTTGTTAATTTTGGACAAATATAGTGAAAAACTCCTTTATACATTTATCTCTCCGGAGCTACTCTCCTAACCCTACACCCCTTCACACTGGCAGGCTGGATCCCCAGAGTTCCTGAAGTATGTCTCCTCAGGGCTGTAGCTGTAACCTAGAGGGTTGGGAGGTATCTTTCCAGTTCCCTAGCTGATAAGCCCAGCAACCCGTTGTGTTTCTCAGCATGATTTAAGATTGATTATGATATTAGTCAACCAGACTTAATTAGCTTTTTCTTAGAAAGGGGCAATTAACTAAGGTGGTTTGGTTGGTAGAGGCATACCTAGGACATATTGTGGGTACAGTTCCAGACCACCAAAATAAAAGCAAATATCACAATAAAATGAGTCACATCAACTTTTTAGTTTCCCAGATATAGTGGGAAGTTATGTTTACACTATACTGTAGTCTATTAAATGTGCAATAATATTATGTCTTTAAAAAAATGTATGTACCTTAATTAAAACAATACTTTATTGCTAAAAAATGCTAACCATCATTTGAGCCTTCAGTGAGTCCGAATCTTTTTGCTGGTGGCATAGAAGGCGTGGAGGACAAACACAGCTTCTAGAAACTGTTTTGTTGAAAACCTTCAAGCTGTTCCCTTTAGGTGTGAAGTAACTTTTCTGCTGGGCTCTTGCCGGAGCCTTGAATCTGAGTCAGAGGATACTGTTTAGCTGGTCAAAGGAAGCTGCTAGGATGGGAGGAGGGAGGTTTAATTTGAAACCAAAGCCCAGAGTTCTCCTCCTCACCCCTTTCTCCAAGGTTTAGCTGTAGCAATCTCTGCTTTCTGCTTGCTTGAATCTTTTGGCCCTCAACTGGTTTGATATTTCATAAAGGACCCACAGAGCACGACTAAGACTCCATTCTGAACATCTGTCTTGTCAATGTCCCTCCAGTTCCCATCCAAGGACTTAGTCTCAAGTCTTTGATTGATTGATTAAATACTGATCTGTAAGCCTTGTTCACAACTCTGATTTGAATCTATCAAAATGTATAAATGAAAAAGTTATCTGGGCTAAATGGAGTGGGCTGGTATCAACTGCCCTCTAACAAAAAGGCAGGTAGATGGTAAAGTGGATTAAACATAGAGCCTGGAGCGAGGAAGATAGTTCAAATCCAGACTCAGACACTGGCTGTGTGACCCTGGACAAGTCAGTTAACCTCTGTCTGCCTCAGTTTCCTCAACTATAAAATGGGCATAATAACAGCATCTGCTTCCAGGGTTATTGTGAGAATCAAATGAGATTATGTTTGCAAAGCACTTAGCATAGTGCTTGGCATATAGTAAGCACTACACAAATGCTAATTCCCCCGACCCATAGAAAAATCCACTGGTGAGTCAACAAATGTATAGTTAGCATTTTCTATGTGCTGGGCACTGAACCAAAATATTCTCCACTGAATTCCTTTAAATATTTTTCCTAATGCCTTTGAAATACAAGTTGATTTATAGCAATTAGATTCAATTCAGTTCAGTTTAGCAAGCATTTATTCAGTGCCTACTATATGTGTTAGTACTGTGCCAATCCAAAGAAATACTAATAACTCACAGTTATATAGCTCCTTAAGATTTACACATCACTTTCCTCACAATAATACTATAGAGGAGGGAGTTTATATATTATTATTCCCATTTTACAAATAAGGCTTATACAGTCAAAGGCTAGTTGACCATTTATCGAGTATGTTGTAGAGAGAATTCTTGTTTGGGTATAACCTAGACTAAAATGCCTCTCAAATCCTTTCCAATTATGAAGTTCTATAATTATATGAAATGACTTGCCCATAATCGTATAGCTAGCAAGTATCAGAACTAACATTTGAACCCAGGTCTTCTGACTCCCAGTACAGAACAATCTCTACTGTACCATGGATCCAAACAAAATAATACCTGCCCTCAAGGAAGCTGCATTTTAATATTGAGTTTTGTATTTAACAAATCTCTCTTTCTCTCACAATCCCATATATTTGAGTTCATTCAAACCTGGATCGACCTATAAGACACTATGTCCCTGGTTTCCTTTAAAGTACCAAAGGTCCTTTCTCTCAGCCTGCCCCTAATCCATCACTCCTTGGCCATACACAAACAAGCTCAGAAACACTGGTCTAGAAGAAGGAGTAGGCATGTTCCTTATTACGTCAATGCTACCTCAAGACTTTTCTACTAACAATATGACCTCTCCTCCTTTCAGGTTCACTCTATCTATAGTTCCCTATCCAGTACATTGTTTCTATTAAATACTAATTTCCAGGTCATTCTCTCTATCTCAAGAAATTCAGCACTTAGCTTATAATCTTACTTTCTTTCCATCCATAACTCATGCCTCAGACTTGAATCTTACATAGACTGATGTCCCCTCAAAAACCTTGCACTTCCAATACATCATTCTCCTTAATTCCTATGATCTACCTCATCACTCCACTGCAGTTTCTGGACCATCTGCCTTCTTCACTGCTACTTTCATCCTGCTGGGTAGTCCAAGAGAAAATCTCATAATCTTGCTAACTGGATCTACTTCTTATTTATAGAGAATGGCTCACCAGGTGAAATTTAATAGAGAAAACACAAAGTTCTGCCTGGGATTCAAAAAAATCAATTTCCCAAGTATAGCTAGACAACAGTTTGTATTTTAAAAAAAAAAATAGGATTTTAGTGTTCTAAAAGTTATAAATTAATTAATGGTATGCCATGACAGGAAAAAAATAAGCTGATACCATCTCTAACTAGTAAGAAATAGTATCAGAACCAGAGAGGTGATAATCTTGCTATATCTACTTGATGAAACCATATCTTTAAAAAAAATTTTTGTAAGAAATGTTTATTGAAATATTTTGTTTTTACATCATTACATTTCTTAATGTATCCTTTCCTTCTTCTGACCCCTATCCTGGAGAGCCATCTCTAATAACAAAGAATTAAAATAAGGGAAAAAAAAAGAATTCACCAAAATTAACAAATGTCTCAAAAAAATCTGATTCAGTGCTCCATACCTATAGTCCTCCGCCTCTGCAGTGGAGAGGGTGCCTTTTCATATCTTTTTTTTGGGACCAAGCTTGTTCTTTATAATTTTGCAACTTTCAGTTTTAAATAATTTTGTTATTATTGATGTTAATGCTGCCTAACATCTAAAAACTAAGTTTTGCATTCCATTTAGGCTTTTAAATTCTAATGAGCTAAACATGATTTAGAAGAAAAATTAGCATAGGTATACCCTGTGTAGTGTTTTGAGATACTAGGAGACACCCTGTTTTCCAGAGCTAAGGCCCAGTAAGCAAGCTGTGCCCTAAGCTTGGCACAACAACAATCCTTTGTGCCCACCCTCTGGAACTGATGGTCTCTGAGCTTGGGCAAGCACCAACAGGCCCAGATACAAAGCCCTGTTGTGAACTGACTTTTTTGTCTCTAGACAACCTTGCCTCACTGTTGCCACTGTGCCTCACCACTGTTGCTGTACTACACTGTTTGACTCTTTGTCTAGACACAAGTATATAAATCAAGGTTCAGCCAAACTAAAGTGGGTCCCCCTCACTAGGCGTGGGGCGCTAATACATGTGTCTAATCTGCCTCCTCGCTTGCAAGTCATTTTCCTCACTTTGAAGTTAAACT